ATCCATCCATCCATCCATCCATCCATCCATCCATCCATCCATCCATCTATCTATCTATCTATCTATCTATCTATCTATTCATTCATCACCAATGATAAAAGTGAGTCACTAAATATTCAAGGCCAAATGTCTACTGTATAATTTGTAATACATGAGGATTATCAGCAGAGTTATGTTTTGTTACCAACAGTTACGAGTTGTTTGTTTGCATTCAAACATCGACAAGTCTCAGCGCATGACAGATATTGAGTGGGTATCTTTGGGTGCACATGTACAACTGATGTCATTTCAGTTTAAGCTAGTCACAACTAGAAACAAAACAGTAATGGCAATAACTTGGTCTATTTTATATAAATTATGTGTGTGTGTTACTGTATATTTTTCACTGCATATACATCTAAATCATAAATTGAGTCAGTCACGGAATTACCCAAATCCTTACTATTAAATCAGGATGACAGATATTTCAGCTCCACTTCTGTGAACAAGTGACTACCATTTCAAATTTCATACATACTATTATCTAAAATAAATAAAACACCTATTGTGACCAAATCGCGTGCCTTTTTTGCATGTGACAGGCTTAACAACACCAATATAGCAACATGCTGATTTGCACTGCATTATTTTTTTTCACCGTTAAGACAAAAGACCGCCAAGGTGTTGATCTTCTCTTTAACCCTCGGTGCTGCCTTTTCCCAGCCTTAGAGGAAAGAACAGGGTCACTCAGTAAGAAGTCATTTCAGCAACAAGAAGAGGGATACAAGCAGCTCGGAGAGCTGATACTGACCAAATCCTTTCATCATTCATACCTTATTTCCACTTCTCTTTCATCTACCCCATAACTCCTCTCTTACTCTGACAATAAGCCACTTTTTCAAGGGAGGTCTGACTCAGCTAAACACGAAAAAGCAGCCAAAGCAAGAAAGAAAAAGATGAAACAAGTAGGAACCTTCAGGTTTGTGTGTGTTTTTTTTTTATATGTGCCTGTTTTAGGTAGTCGATGTTCAGGACACCTGCTTATTGAAACACTAGCTAGATTCAAATCTCTGTTTTTAGTTTACCTTTGTCTTTATTATGTCTATGCTTAGGAGTACCACAGAGTTTTATAGCTTGTTCTTGGATAGCAAATGCACCAACAGAAACTGGTGTACTTCCAGTTGCTGCTTCGGTTTCACATTTTTTAGGTCCCTGGGTTTTGTTGGATATGTTTGGCAAGCTAGTTCCCACCAAACAGAGCACACGTAAGACACTAAAGAAGACAAATTAGTTTCATTAGTTCATTTTTGTATTTCCTTGTCTTACTGTGTAATGAACAAGCATTGCTATTCCGAGCGTCAGTTGCCTTCAATCTGTAAAAGTTGGCAGCTGTGCCATGGCTCTGCTTCAGGTCGCTGATTGCTAAACCTGGCAAGGTGGGTTATTACAGACAATTTATTGTCACCATCTTCATTTCAAGTCCCTGTAACATTACACTCTGAGGAAATTACAACCTGCTACACTTGAGAAAGCTCTGAGAGCAGTTAACCGACCCATGACACAGCGATATCTGACCTCAGTATATCTGACAGCTGAAATGAGTCCTTAAAGCTAATACTGCACACTGTGTAGCGGTCTTAGTTTCATTATGTTGCAGTCAAGGTCCTCCCAATGCACTGTGAGTCATGCCAGGTGAAGTAAAACACTGTATAGTAAAAAAATATATAAGTCTGAATGCATGGTACTGCTAATTACCGGTAATAACCACTCAAGACTCAAGCTAGTCTTTAAAGAATAATTCTCCCTTTGTTAACTTTAACGTGGCAGTCCTGTGCCTTTCATGTCATTTGTA